TGATGGCTGGTATTTATTTTAGGAGCCTATTTGACTGGCTTGTTTGCATTAGCCATCACATGTGATTCCTGGAAGAGAGTGTCTGGCTACCCCAGACCATATTTCCTGTCAGTCTGTGGCAACTTCTCTGCCATCAGCCCAAGACTTGTGAGAAAACCATCAACACTTCTTTTCCAGATACACAGTATCTTTCAAGAAGTTGTATTTATAGCCTCCATTATTATGCATATATACAGACATGTTATTATGGCTCTTCACAGGGAGATGATCCCTTCTGTTCATATGCTCCAACTCAAGAAGCATCCTGGCACTGGACCTGTAGCAACAAGGACTCCAATTTGCTCAAAGAGGCCAGGATGTCATTCCCATCAACCCGCACAGCACTGGCATTTTATGCAGCCATTTTCTGCTCATGGTATGTGAGCATTGCAGTGTCCAGGAGAGGGGCTGTCCTCAAGCCCATATTTGTGGTGCTCTTCTTCTTGCTGGCCATGCTGGAGAGCTACAGTTCCATTCAGGGCTACTTGAATCACTGGGAAGATGTGTTTGTGGGTGGACTGCTTGGCTGTGTGGGAGGCATCTGTTCTGTGAGTACATCAGTATATAAATTACACAGGTGGACTCTCTGCACAATTACCTCACTTAATTTTTTAATTATCTTTTTTAGTCCAGTAAGGTTCTCTGTCCATGTTATACATTTTCTCTAGAATATACTGTAGAATTCTTTTGACAGCAAACTGTCTCTGGCACCTTGAATTTTGTAGAGTCCATTTGTATTAATTTTATGCAGAAGTTTTTCCCCAGGTCCCAATAGCTTTGCTGCATCAAGGTTTCACTGTAAATGGATTCACCAAATAAGTAAGCTTATGCTATTCTATTGAACAGTAACAAGAATCAGGAGGGTTAGAAGTAATATATGCAAGTTATGGTTCACATGGTTTTGCCAATATTGCCAGTTTTTTCCTGCAGAAAAATAAGACTCATTCAATACAAAATTGACAAACTCAATCACTGCCCAAGTGGGGAGCTATCATTTGTGTGACCCAACAACAGGTGCACACTTAGGAAAAAACCAGTGTACATGGAGTATTCTAGGGTTACAAGCATGCACCTCTGTAGATGAAATTTTGCTACCATCCCAGGGCTACATTTGGTGCACAAATGTGACATAACAGGAGTATCACACAAATGCACCAACTGTAACCTTGGTGTAACTTATTTGTTTCTAATGTGACCCCAAGTAATCCTGGTGTGAAGGCACAATTGGTGCACATTGAGGATATGCATGTGCAACAGAAGAACTTTGGTACATTTCAGGTGCACAGCAGGGTCACTGTGTGGTAATACATGCATATCCCAAGTGTGCGCCATTTTCCCCACTCAGGTGTCTCACAAAAGTGACTCAATTGAAGGATTTGTTTCACCAAAAACTTGCCAGGCACAGACATTTCTAATTGTTTTCAAAGATAGTGGAAACATTAAAAATTAAAGTTGAATTGCTCCCTTCTCTACTCTCCAAGAAAATGTGGATTTCAGTGAGTATGAGATCCAATTTGATATGAGAACCCTGGTGTATTGTTGTTGGTGACACCATGCAGGTGTGGTTGCTATTGCATGGCCTGGAAGAGGCAGCAGCAGCAGGGGACAACCTGGGGATGATGGATCTCAATGGCATGACTGACATGGATGGCCAAGCACCATTCCAGCACCAAACATGGCCACCAGGAGGAGGAGGAGGAGGCACACTGGCACCTTATGCCCCAGAGAACTATGGGTATGAAGAATCAAGGCCCAATGGTCCCTTGTCATCCAGGCGTTGGCCACCAGCCACACCAAACTTGCCAACCAGTCCATCCATCTACAGTCTCTTCCAAAGAGACAGCATAGTGCAGCCATCATCATCAGGAAGTAACTATCCAAGGAGACTGTCTTCAGTGGTGAGCAATTACCGTGGTGCCAACAACAGGGCCACTCCAAGACCCTCATTTGCCATGCCACCACTCAATGAGACACCAAGGGGCTCCACTTCTGTTGAGGAGGGGCCAGAGCACTCGGTCTCTGTGAACAGTCGTGGTCCACACGTCTCCGTCGGGTCCTCTGTGAGACATCGGTCACCCCGAATGTAGACTAAGGAAGTAGTCGTCTGACTTGACTGACTACTGGTACTAACTTACATACATTTATATAAGTCATGATTATGCTCATGTTTGCCAGAAAGGACTTCATGTCTTCCATCTGGATGTCTTGACATTTCAGTCCAAAAGGGACAACAAAGCCTTTTCCCATCATTCTCATTACAATACTTTTTACAGGGCATCAACTGCTGTACCACTGATTATTCACTGAAAAAATTTGTATATTTGGCACAGGATTGAATTCTACCCCAGGATTGCAAAAAAATTGCAGCAAATTGTTTGACATAATTTTCTTTCATTTTTCAACTCTTTCTCCTCAGGGATCAAAAGGTAAAAAAAATATTGAGCAAAATAATTTAATAGGTGCTGTAGAAATGAAACCTACCTTTCAGACAAAATTAATGTCCCATATGTTGGTCAATATAAAGCATATTATTTTCAAGTCATGTGGCTTGGACTTCAAATTCCAGGATTTGCAAGGGTGCTTTGTATTGAAGTTTCTGCATATGTTGACAAGAAAAAAGCACAGCATGTGTAAATTTTGCATGGAGAAAAGAAAACAATTTCAAAGTTAATCCTGGATCTATAAAAGAGGATGATTGGGATGAGAGGTCTTCAGACTGAGAGAGTAAAAATTCAGAATTTGAGATTTTTAGTTTTTTAGATGCAAAATTAAATAGTGAAGAATTTATCCAAAAAGTAAATGAAATGCAAAAATTCCTCTGAACAATGAGACCACTTTCCTAAATTTATTTGAAAGATTTCAACCAAAAGATATGCTCAGAATCTGAACAGAAACATTATTTAAAAAAAATAGCCTAAAGCAGGAGGAAAAACATATCACTTCACATGAAATTCAATCCCAATAAAAAAAATTCATGCCTGAATCTCAACTCTTGTTCAAAAAGCCAAGAAAGTACTCATGTGAAACTTTATTTAGGTAAAATTCCTCTTTCAAATTTTCTTGATATTGATAACAAAATTTGATTCAATTATATTTCAGGCCACTATCAGTTTCCAGCTTTCTGGATTTTGGGAACCATTTCTCCTATATAATATGGCCCACCCCAAAAACTATGTTGAAATTCATAGAGGGGATCATAAATTCTGACAGGAACTGACAATGGTGCTACTTATTCACTCTCATTTTCATTCAAGTAAGACTTGTCATTCAAGTAAGGAGTACATCAAAAGTGAACTGAGGAATTAATCCTAATGAATACTTGACAGGTTCTCTCAAAAATTTCAAATCATCAAGATACATCATATAGATATNACCCCCTGGCAATTCCTTGTACAGGTGGCACAATGCAATTCAACCCTAATCCATTGTAAGAATAGGGTCAAATTGCAAGACAATGTCAAATGGCATGTTTTCTACACAGCATTTGACATTTCATATCTTGGTACAGGTCAAATTGCACAGCACAGGTTGAATTGAGAGTCAACCTCCCAGCAAATTTGACCATTGAATTGCAGGATGATCAAATTGTAAGGTGCCAACTGTACAACTAGAATATGGTTCAAAATGAAGGGAAGTACACCACTTCTGCTCCAGACATGTGGGACAGAATAGTTTCAAGTCTTCAATTCATCCCTCTGATGCATAGAAACCCCATTAAAACACCATTTGACAAGCCAATTCCAATTAATTTGATAGAACAAATCTTTCCAAGTTATGTTTCGTAATGACTATCTGCATGAATCAGGGGAAATGTAATTACTCAAGTACCATGTGCACTTTTTTTTCTCAAATTTCAAAAGGAAAATAAGGGTGCGCATAATAAGCAGGTACAAATATTTCACAAAGTTTTAGGAAGTTATGTGTGCATTATACTTAATTTTAATGGAGAAATTTGGAACAACTGTAAAATAGAAAACATTTTTACTGGAAAAGTTGAAAATTGGTCAGGTTTTTGTTAAATTCATTCCTGAAGTCAAATTTTGTGTTTTTATTCTTAAAATTTTGTGGTTTTACATGCACTGAAAATTGGGGTGTGCCTCTTACCTGGGGATAAATTTTTAGCAAAATTTCCAACTGAAAAACCCTTGTGCACACCTTACTCAGGGGCACCTGGTACTTGAGTAAATACGGTAAATCAAATACACCTCTGAAAATTGTGTTACTTGCCTTGTTAATGTGAATAAAGTCTCCAAGAAGTCACCAATCACAAAAAAACATGAGGGTGACATGATCTACTTCTTGGGAACATCATCTGTACATTATTAACAATCCCATTATTAATTTGATAAATTTTCAAGAAAATTCAAATTTCATGCCATATCATACTGTACTGGATAGTGATATTGTATTAGACAAGTCCAGCAATTAATTGTGATAAGACAAATCTTTCCCAATGATTGGTTGGAAACCCTGATCGAAAAAAAAGCTTGAATTCAAGATAAGCAATGCAAATATGTCTGTCTCAACAAAATAATTATGTCTTTTACACCTTGCCAATCTGATTTAATTCCCAGAGAGAAAAAATTAAGAAAAGAGACATGAACGACGAAGGATTGGAGTTACAAGAGCTATAAAAAAAACACAAGGTTTACTTCAGTCGTTTTCCAATGGAGTACTTACTCGATTTCATTTTTAAACAAGACTTTAATAAATTTCGGTAAGACCACAACCCCCAGAAACAACTGGTATAGCTCATCAAGGTCGACTGTACCACAGTGACCTATTTTCTTTTTCAAGACTTCAACTTGAGAAGACAGAGCACTATTGGAAATCCGGTCCACTGTCCTCCAGTGATCCTTTCCCTGTGAAATATAACAGACCAGCTGCAGTTGGAAAAACACAGATTCCATCAGAAGAAAATAAAAATAAAACGAATGAAAAGCAAGGAGAAAAAGCCAGGGTCGTAGTGAAGCGAAGTGATGTTTATTCAGACTCGGATTGGTCTCCAGCTTCGAACATTGTGTCTCTTTCTCTCGCGCTCTCAATCTTTTTCTTGTTGCTCTCTTTCTCTCTCTCCACACGGCAGTAAGGAATTTTCTCTTTCGCCTGTTTCAACTCAACGCGGCTCTTTTCCCGTTTTCCACAGTCCGGCAAGCTGACCTCAAGCTCTCGCGACGACCTCTCTTCGTTCTGCCCACTACACCGATATTTTTCCCGGCGACACCACACCGATTCCAACGAAACCACCGAGGGGGGGAAAAAGAGGGGGGAGGAGGAGGAAGGAGCTCAACAACTGAGTCCAAAAAAAAAAAAAACTTTTTTGTAACGAATGAACGAATGGAACCGAAAAAAATAAAACCAACCGCTTCTTTTTCACCTTATACTTTTTTTAAACGCGCTCATCGAATGTTTACTGCGAAAAAAAGGAAACGAAAAAAAAATTTTTGCAACGGGAAAAAAAAAAAACTCCCGATTCCTTCTTTCTTCGCGTTGAAAACCACGTTTTTTGTTTATTTTTTAATCTCACCATTTCCTCCTGCTCATCATTTCGTTTAATTTTCTTTCTCCTCTCCTTTTCGACCCACCCATGCAAATTTTGCGAAAAAAAGTTTCCTTCATTTTTTTCTGGCGCGTGTCTTGCTTCTTCCTCCCTTCTTTCCCTTTCTCTCTCTTGCCAGCTCCCAGTTCTCCCCCAGAGACAATTTCCAGAGAGAGAGAGAGAGAGAGAGAAAGAGAAACAAGAAAGGGAAGAACCAGTCCGCGCCTTTTTTAGTTCTCCACCTTCTGCTTCCGGGATTTTTCCTTCTTTCGTTTCTTAATTCATCATCATCATCTTCATCACCCTCTTTCTCTCTCTCTTCCTCTCACACTGTCTCGCTTCGTTTCAAACTTTCTTCCTTCCTCTCTTTCTCATCTCGCGCACTCTCTTTTCTTTCGCTCTTTTCAGTTGTCCCCGGCCTCTTGTGCCTCTTCGCCGTCGCCTTGCGTGTCTGACGTCCAGAGCGTCAAGTTGTCGCGCAGGAGTTGCATGATGAGAGTGGAATCCTTGTAGCTGTCCTCGTTCAGCGTGTCCAGCTCGGCTATGGCGTCGTCGAACGCCTGCAGGGGAACCAACAACCGAATCAAAACACTGCAACAGTTTGAACCGCGAACCTTGGCGAGTCGAATTTCAAGTTCAAGACTGAATTTCCTCAAAATCGATAGCTTTCGGCTATTTTCTTCTTGAAAAGGGAAGAGAAAAACAACAAAAAATTGCGTTTTGAAAGAACACGTGCGAAAGAAACCCTCGCCTCAAAGTTCAGTAACCGTCAACTCCTTTGAAAAAAAAAAAAACATTTCTCTGCAATTTGACTTCTTGGCAGTTCCTTGAAATTCGACTCGAAGAGGTTCGACCGTCAATTCAACCCAAATTTCTTTTCAGAATGATTTCGAATATAAATTCTCGAAGTTTTTCACGTTACGCAAGGAGGAGGAGGAAAAAAGGAGGGAGCGGAAAGAAGAAAAGAGAGAATGATGAAACAATCTCAAGCATGCACACACACAAAAAGTGATCCGCAAACATTCGGAAACAAAACACAATCACTTTTCCATTTCCGCTTGACCGGAATTCAAATTACTTCCTAGAATCGATACACGTGTCTCATTCGGTCTTCAGGTAAAAATCGAGAATCCGAGAGAAAGAATTCAGGCGAAACGTTTCCCTTCCCTCGAACGTCATTTTCTTTCTTTCTTTTTCACGAGGAGTGTTGTCACTTTATTGAGATCCGTTCGATCGGCGATTCACGCGACACCTTCGAGGAAACACTACCACACGGTAATTGAAAACCAATTGAACAGCACTTGTAACACGTTTCTACACTCGAGTGGAAGATTCATCCCCGGAACTGGCTAAAAGGCACCGACAAAAACGCGCCTTCGAGGAAAAAAAAAAACTAACAGAAAAAGCGATCTTGACAACTTGGCAAAATACCGTTGATCCTTTCAAAAAATACCAACGAAGGGCATCCACATTTACACGAATATTAGTTCATGACAACCTCGAATATGGGTTCAAATATTTTAACGCGAGAGAGAAAATGAAGGTTTCATGTATTAAACATTATTATTTATTAAACAGGATATTAGGAATCGTGGTTAGAGTTTCAATTAAAAATTCTTCTTGAATTTAAACTTTCATCCTGTTACACATAATATCAGCAGAAATCTTCATTCGCCACCAGTATGAAGTTTCAACTACTGTAGTTTGAAGTGTACTCCGGTAAATTGACAGAATCATCACAAACAATTATAAAAAAAACCTGTACTCCCGAGAAAAAAGAATACCAAGAAACATTTCCAATTCCGAGAAACAAACACGAATACGCAATTTTCCAGCTGTGGTTTCACACCCTCAAGAAGATAAAATAAGAAAATTAATTTTTTTACAGTACAGTGCGTTAATCACGATACAATATATGAGAGCGAAAAGAGACTATCTGGAAGCTTCTAGAGAAATAGCATAAATAAAACAAGGACTGCTCAGAGAGAGAACGGAACTTCTCACTCCACTGCGTTCCTTCGTCACTTTCCAGGTGCAGTGTCGCGCGAGCGTGGGAAAAAATGGAAGCATCCGAAAATTGCCACCTGGAACTTTTTCATCATGCCTTCTTTTTGGTCACCAGGTATTTGGAAGACGCACGAACTTCCGCCACAAGGCTTCCCACTACGCGTTCCAGATACAGAACGGGGCACCGACATGACGAAGATTCGAGTTACGGACACGACATTTCAAAGAATCTGCCCAACATCTGGATTATATCTCAAGTATGGGCAGTTAGCCAGCATTTTAGACAAATTGAAGAATTTCATCATTCAAACAAATTGATATTTTTCAGCATAAATTCAAACTGCATTCGATAATCCAACACAAGCCAATTTGTTGCTTCTTAAAACAGAATAGCTACATATGGTATAAATACTGTACAGTACAGTGAAACTCCTCCATATGGGGACACCTCAACTTGTGGACAATTCGACATAGGGACACTTATTTTCCAATGAAAATTTGATGAAAAAAAAAGGCCCAACATGAGGACACTGACTCAACATAGGGACATTTTGTGATAAAATTGAAAATGAGTTTCAGGCCAAATTACAAGAAACAGATATTTCCAAACCTAAAATTGATGTAAGAAAAGTTCTTGGGCATTTCTCTCACAAAATTACCATCCATTTAGCTAATTTTAAAAATTACCTCCAGCATAGAGACTTCCTTCTCTCTTTTTCACTTGATTATTATTTTTACAGAGAATGCCAGCATTTCCATGTACTGTACAGAGGTATCAGTATTCAATTCCCCAAATAAATGTCCAGATTGTGTTGAAACATTGATTGAATCAGTTTAAATTGGGAGACAATTTTTAATTTCATGGAATTATGGTGAGTATTTTGTCCATAAAACACCTATTAAAAATCATACATAAGTTCAAGGGAAAATTAGACTTAGCTATCAAGGACATTTTGACTTGGGCACACTCTTGATGCACCAATTACATCTGCATCTCAGGGTCTCAATGTAATTCCAATGAAAGGTTTAGTATACTGGAATCCTAGGCATTGGGTCAAACGCTTGCCACCACCAGGTGTCGCTCCTGCAGCACAGTTGGGCACTTACATCCAGATCAAGTAAATCGACGTCCTTCATAAAACCAAAGACTTGCTAGCAAAATCTAATTTCCAGTCCTCGAAAATTCAGGATTCTCAACAAGGAATTCCTCATGTTCCAGATCAACTTTCGTTAGAGCATAACCTACCTACTCTGGACAACGAATAACAAAAAAAAAAACAACGGATAATCGAATACGTTACCAAGTCAACCTGCGTTTAATCATGATTCGAAAGAATAAGTTGTTGGAGTAAAACTCCCTGCATCAACAACTCGATTAAAACAGGTTCCCTTCAGAAATCCGGGATAAAATTCTCGGCGTCTTTTCTTCGAAAATTTCATCTTATCCACCAGTAACAACGGCAATAAAAAATTTCTAATCGCGTAACTCTTATCTGGAATCGACTTCTGCGAACACAGGTTGATTTCAACCTCCAATGGCACAATAAAACTCCTGTATGATGCTGCACTGGAAATTTGTCACGCCTGTTCAGATGGTCCAATTGGGACACCCACTTTCGATAAGGAAACGCACAACCAATTTTCTCTCGAATGACAAATTCCCAACATCGTAAGTTCACAAGAAAATATCACTACAGTATATTGTAAGCATCAAAAGAAACACGAGATCTCTTCCTCAATCCTCGCATACATGATTTGAAGGACTTCCTAGAATGAATATAAATTACTGCGGAGAAACGTTTCTTCCTTCTCAGAAGTTACTCGGAATAAATTCCATCGCCGTTCCTTCATAAGAATACCATACTTGAGAATAGAAGTTCAGTACTGTACATACAGGCGGACTCTTTACGATTTTCGATGTAAACGAATTTTTGGTCGGTCCCATAAGGTTTCTACCGATGTCGCAAGGAAACTCAACAAGTAAATTCTCTCCACAACGACTCTTTTTCCTGATTTCTTGAATTTTGTCGGGAGATATTCCACCTGTATCAATTTGAGCATAAGGACACACGTAATGTTCAACTGCGATTCTTACTGCTACATCCCACGATCGATCCAGATCTTACACCTCGGTATGATGTCGCTTAGGGGCGTATTGCTATCGTTAGAAAAATTATCTCCTTTTGCAGAGTGTCGACTTGTAAATTATCGGGTTTTTGCGAGTTTAAAGTTGTGCAAAAGCTGATTTTGAAGCTGTCATTCTTTTACACAGGTGGACTCTCCGCAACGATTTTCTCGATTTAACGCATTTTTTATGGTCCCATCAGCACAGGGTTCTTTCTATCCAGTGTTTCCGAGGTTCTTTACAACGTCTTTTTTCCTTTTTCTTTGGATTTCGTTGTAGAGAGTCCATTTTCACTGAGAAAGATTCGAAAAAAGGTTACATTTCTGCGTCTTCTTGTCTTCGTAATCTGTTAAATTCAAAAGGGTCGGAGAAGAAGATCCGTCAGGATTGCTTGAATTTCGAACTTGAAAAATATAAATTTACAATTGCAAGCAAAAAAACTAGACTAACAAGTTCCAGTCGTTTACCGTCGCTTTTGGGTAATAGAAATGAATTTGATCATTCCCCCTATTTACCCTGGATAAAAAATTAACTCGGCGAATACACACGGATGCTCGAGGATGTTCGAAATTACATCACGACACCGAGGGGAACCAGAAGAACATTTCGACATGAACACTTAAATCGGCTTCAAATCACCACTTATTCGCACTTTTGAATCAAACGAATCACTGACACAAACCCGCGTTCAAGCGCGACCTCGTCACTTACACCACAGTACGAAACACTAGAACACACCCACACAGAAAAGAAAATCGTCAGTCAACGCAGCAAAACCCTACATCAAATAAGGGGATGGAGAGAGTGTTATGCAACGGTGACGAGGCCGACGACGGTGACGATGATAGTTGACGACGGAAGTCGGGCTGGCGGGATTGTTTTTTTCCAACAAGCGGAAGAAGAATGCGAGGATAAAACGAATTATAAATCGGGGATATATCCACACACACACACTGCACTGCCCCCAATCCGACCAACACACGAGCATTCACAACTGGTGGAAAGTCTCGACGAAATGTTCCTTTCTCATGAAAAATTTAATAAGTCAAATCCGTTTCTCGTTACCATTATGGGCACCTTTCTCACGATTTAACTTTGTACGTGGAACTCGTCGCATTACTAGAGAACTAAAACCACTGGAAAAAATCACATAATTTGAAACTCGATATCCACTGGAACCTCCCCAAGTCATACTCCAATTTCCCTTAGAATCAATGCATTAGAAACCTCCCTAACTCGAAGGATTTCGAGTCGGGTAGGTTTGAAAAAAAAAAATCAATTAATTAAAATTCACGATTTTTGAGAGGAAGTTGAAGGGTAATTGGGCAGATCACTTAAATTTCAACGACCTATCAAGAAGCAATTCGAAGTCCAGAATATCCCCAATTAAAATTTCTTGTGATTTTTCTTTCGTTCCCCTCAGATTTCCTCGAGTTCCACACAAAGAGTTTCGCACGTAATTCCAAAAATTCTCCGAGTTTCCAAGAACAGAATCATGCTTGAAATTCGATATGATTTTTACTCAGACTACTCTAAAAGAAACTCGACTATATCTCGTTGACCGGTATTCCGCTAGCGCAAGAGAAACCTACCAACCGGTCTCGATATCCACGCATTAGTGCCACATAAGATGGACGACATGCAGGCGAGGCGACACCTAGTCATTCGTCGCAAAAGCACGCGTCAAGCAAATCCAGGAGTGAATGCCGGTGTAAGAGAGACGAGAGGCGCGAAGGGCAGTGGGGAAGGGTTCCAATTTTTTTTCTTTCTTCCTCAATGATCAGGATTGTCCACAAATTTTGAGACTCATCAGAATGAATTAACATTTACTGTACTAAAATTAACCCAGAAGCTTCCACACAACCTCTTCAATCAATCAGGAAAGACACGCTCAACCATTAATTTGTATACAATTGCAATAAAATTTTCAAAATAATGATTTCAATCAATTTGGCACCTACAGTATTCCTTCAAATTATGCTCAACATCTCGTCTTTCTTGAGCGAACTGTCATAAATTTCATTAACGGTTTTCTCTACTTATACGTTCTTCTTAACCCCGAAAAGTACTTTTACAGTTATCAACCGTAGAGTTTTAAAGGCCTGGTAGGAAGCGTTTGTTACATGTGGTCTCCAAGAGTTGGCCCAGTATTCGCGGGACCCTCGCTTCCGAATTCATTTCGAACATCTGTCAACTTTTTCAAAAATTTTAGAGTACCCGTTCAGTAAAAATCTTTAAAAACGATAATTACATTGGAAATCTCAGGTGAATCCGCCAAAATATTTGACAATTCTCATCTGGTCCTGCCGATTAATTTCATTTTCAACACCCCACCAACACGCTTCCAGTTTCTGTAGTAAGTCTCCCATTAATTTCTCTGGATTTAATTTATGTATCCCTGGGATTGTTTTTCGGGAGAATACGAATATACATTTCATTTTAAACTAAATTTTTATTGTTCAGCCTCTTTAATGAACCAAACCTCACAAAGAAATGGTGGTTCTCACCGAGGCTTGACTAAACAGTACTGTACTTGTCCTCTAACCTCACTTCAATACAGCATTTTAAAGCTTCACACGATTTCAACCATTTGCTTTTCTCGCAATTGTGAAGGTGCCGCAGAAGCCCGTCCCCTGGACAAATGTTCACCGGTATAAAAAAAACCTCTGCTGTACACACACACACACGCACATTGCGGTACAACACGTCTCTTCCTCCTCCAGAGGGGGTGTCGGTGGCGTACCTGCTTGGCCAAGTGGCACGCCCGGTCCGCAGACATGACAATCTCGTAGTAAAACACGGAAAAGTTGAGCGCCAAGCCTAGGCGCACCGGGTCGCAGCCCGCGTAGGACCAGGCGCGGCGGAGCATGCGGAGAACCATGCGGGCGACGCTGAGGAGGCAGCGCGGAATGGGCAGTGGCAACGTAGTTGTGTGTGTATGTGTGCTTGTGGCTTCTTTTTTGGCCAACGAAAGAGGGAGAAAAAGAGAAAGGAAAGCCGGGTGAGACACACAAAAAAAACAATCAGCGCGCAGAGAGAAGAAAAAACGAAAGGCATAACCACATGTCGAGAGAGCGACATCTCGTTACCTGTTTCGCCAACTGGCAGGCACGGTCGGGCGAATTGAGGATCTCGTAATAGAATACGGAGAAGTTCAACGCCAGACCCAGGCGGATCGGGTGTGTTGGCTGCATTTTGCTCTTGGCGATGTCGAAAGCCTCCTGGTACGCCTTCTGCGAGTCCTCAACTACGGCTGCACACACACACACACACAGTTCATCCAACCCATCGCCGGGTAACAGTTAACATCCACAGCAAAAAAACCGCACACACACATACGTAAGTACATACACACACACACGCGCGCGCGAAAACTGCTCCAACAAGCGTCTCATCAAAGCACCGAATGACGAAAAGCCAAAACTGCCCTTACTCAGTTGAACCTCCTCAAGTCAAATTCCGAGAGACTAGCAAAAAAAAAAAATCTTCGTGGATTTCCAGTTGATGTAACTCTTCTTCATTCATTTCATTCCTGGGGCGAAATTCAAGTCTCAGTTATTGATATTTGTGGCCCAAAAACCGCCATGTAAAGAAGATGAAGTTGAGGTTGCTCAACTTGAGACATGAACTCATGTCCAATTAGCCTTTCAACCCTCTTCAAAAACCATTGTTAATTTGCACGGCTTTTCTTTTCCACAAGTAACGAAGATTAAACATTTACTGTAGTAATGTACCATGCACAGCTTTTTTTTCTGAAATTCAAGAGAGATACATTAGAAAGGGGGTGTGTGTCATAAGTGGGCATACATTTTGCACAAGATTCTAAAGGGACATTTTATAAACATTTACTGTAGTAATGTACCATGCACAGCTTTTTTTTCTGAAATTCAAGAGAGATACATTATAAAGGGGGTGTGTGTCATAAGTGGGCATACATTTTGCACAAGATTCTAAAGGGACATTTTCGATCAGGTTGATACATAACTTGTTTCAATGGGAACACCGCAAAATTGATTGAATTCAGATTCAACTCATATTCAAGTGTAGTACTTTTAGTCTTACGTGGTACTTTTTTCATCTTGAAAATACAAAATGGAAGTTACAGAGTCAATAAAAATGTGGTACGCGTCTTCCTTGGGGATGCAATATCAATTTCGACTAAAAACCCCTGGTGCACCTCTTCTTCAAGGGTGTGTGTGGTACTTGAGTTGATTAATAACAGCCTAAGATTCGTCTGAGACTTGGGAAAAGTCTGAAGAGATAGGGAGGTTTCTTGATGCACTCTTTCCAAGGGAATTCGAACAGGGACCAGAAAAAATAACAAGATGGGGAGGTTTGACTTATCAAGGCTCATCACAACCAACCGAGTTCAATGCCCAACTCATTGATAGTACACCCAGGAATTGGTACAATCCCGCAAAACAGCTCTTTGCCATAATTCACATCCAAGACATTTCAGTGTCGGCAACCCCACCCAATAAAAAGCACTCAGGCCAGGGGTACACAAACACCTGGAGGAGTCTCACTTACATTAAATTACGTCACAAACCGAGCATTAAAACAAAATTTTAATCAAGAATACAGATTTCATTATCGCCCATCAAGTTTCGTACCAAGAGTACCACTGAGTTTAAGACTCCGTCAAGTACATCCATTAAAACTGCACTTACACTAACCCTAGTACACTTGAAAAAAAAAACCGATCCAACGTCGGAAATTAGTACTGCGACATTTACTTTGCGAACGATCACGTAAATTGGGCAATTCGAGAATACCGTAAGTTCTGGAGCTGTACTGTACCACGAATGGTACTCACGGAAATAATATATCTTTACTCCACCGAGACTTCTATGGTGATGATCAGCGGATGACCGAAGTACGACAAATGATGGGATCGAGTCATAAAATGTTTACGCAGCAAGCAAAAGTGAAAAATTAATATAACGGCCCAAGTCATGATCATAAACCCTCGAAGCAAGATTACCACAGTAAGCGAAACGCAAGATAAGACAAACCCCTCACTCCATTTCGTATCTTCCAAGTTAAAATTACACTTTACACTGCGCAATAAGTAATCAACCCCCCCCCCCCCCCAGACAATTGAAGCTCTTTCTCCTCGACATTTACATGAGGTACCGCTACAAATCTCGCCAGAGGAAATTAACAACAAAAAAAGAAACCTCCCAAGACCGCACCTCCAACTGGCCTGGCGCCGCAATGCAAAACCATTACTTACTTAGTTATTCATTCAATACATGAGGTACCGCTACAAATCTCGCCAGAGGAAATTAACAACAAAAAAAGAAACCTCCCAAGACCGCACCTCCAACTGGCCTGGCGCCGCAATGCAAAACCATTACTTACTTAGTTATTCATTCATTCATGCATGCATTCCACAATCCCAAGGAAGTCCCCCCCTTCCCCTCAAAAGGTGACGTGGCAAACACGGGCACAAGAAGTGGGCTTTTCGGCTGATCTCGCATTCGGTGCTTGACGAAAACGCCGCTCAGACTCGATTTCCCGCGCGAGAACCAGTCAGTTTATACGGAGACGTACAACAAAAAAATATACCCCGGCATCGAACGAACGAACAAAAACGGGAGGTGAGCCAGATAGCCGCGGAGAGATCGATGATGGCCGACCGACTAAAAAGTGCGCGCGCACGCACGCACACGATATCATCCATCTCCGGCAACCCTGTCCCGACTCCGGTCTCTCTCTCTCTCTCTCCCATACCCTCTCGCAATGGCTCTCTTCTTACAGCGACCAGGTAACGTTGCCTTGTTCCAACCACCCCCGTCTCATCCCCACTGCATTCCTTAATAGCCCTCTTCACTCAACTTAATCGGCGGCCGTAATAAAGGATGCCTTCGCATTCGTCGCACCCTTCATTAAGCCGCGGTGGACTGCGTAGGGGTTTTCTACTAAGTAGGGACACCATAGTGATGCGTCGCCTTCATGAGCAAGAAATCCTCCACACAAGTAAATTGCACTCATTTACGCTTAATTGTGAAAACTGACTGGCGGGTGTCACTCAGCCCAAAATAACTCGGACGTCGGTGGAACTCAAGCGACATCATTATGATTAAATCGAGCTGATCCGACGGCTGTAATTGACACTCGATCCAATGTCGAAGGGAAATCCATAAAATGTCTCGCAAGCTCGTGGTTTAAAAAACAATACCGAGTCGATTTACCTTTTCTACGCCTTGGGACTTCTTCCGGTGCCAAAATGCCTCGCCCATGTTACATAACAGGTCAAGTTCGTCCTTTAGAATCCATTACTATTGCAGGCGACACCTACCGGTCACCCAAGAAAGCTAGATAGAACCCAGGCACAAGTAATGAATAAATCCTCATGGAAATGGCTAAGATTTGAATCCATATCAACAGACGAAATTCAGGAGAGGTACAAGTTTTTCGAGCTACAGAACAGTAAAATCTCGTTATAACGAATGATCAATTACAACGGTCATTTTTCAAGCCCATGCCAATTGGCCACAATTTTAGAAGTGATTCCTTGATAATGCATTTGTCGACACAACGGAGATATTTCAATCAACGGTTTCGTTGCATTGAGACTTCACTGTAAACTGCCTTGGACTCCCACGCGTCAGTGTCGCAAAACCAAGAAGTCGTTTCTTTGTGTTGGCCAATTACAGTATTCCGGTGCCACCCAAGGGCCATTCGAAAAGGGAAGTCCTGTCTTGCCATTTCACGGCCCTTTACATCATTCCGTGTTTCATACGATACCCGTCGAATGACGTGGCAAGAATGTCTAGTTATGCTTTCACAGTAACAAATTACGCTTAAGGCGACATCCATCAAAGGGCAAATATGAATCCTCAACAATCCGTAGGAAATGTGCGTTGACCCTGTAGAGTCAAGAGGAAAAAACCCCAGCGACCCGGACAGTCGTCGCCCACGTGCAAAACGCCAGGGAAACCCCGGAAGGAAGCCGTACCCCGCCTCCCCCCCCTTACATTCTCGGTCACAAGCGAGAGCCATTGCGAAAACGGGGAGGAATTAAGTAGGACAGGGCCGGGGGCGGGGCTAGTCCATGACGCAGCCCGCCAGGAATGCCGCGCACTTGCCCCCCCCTTAAACTCTCTCCCGGAACCTTAGTTCCTGTCCTTGCGAGGACACAAACCACGTCGACTCACCGCGGGCTCGCTGACTCACGACGACGCTACGCAACGCGAAAACCTATGCTTCAATTGCGACTTACTTGCACGGGAATCACCGGTGGCCACCTCTGCCAAATACCGATAGTAATCGCCCTTCATCTTCAGGTAGAACACTTTGGATTCGGGATTGGATGCCTTGGGGATCAAGTACTTGTCAAGCAG